ATATATATTAAAATTTGGTCATGGCAAGTTAACCATTTCCATGAAGAAAATATTAGCTACGAAGGAAAAGGGAAGCTTCCATAAAGCTCGCTATTGACCCGATTGTATGCAGGAATTTATCACTGGAAAAGTGTTGAAATTATTATTCTCTCGTTTTTTTTTTTAATTATTCTAATTTGAATTTTACATAAATCTTACCTAAAATTTTTATACAATGACAACTAGATGACAATTAAAAAAATTTTGTTTATAAATATTTTTTATCAAGTAGTTTTATTTAAATCAAATTATTTTTTCAATTATCATTGATACTATATAAAAATGTAAAAAAGACTTCTTAAGAAACAAGTTGTACACATCCATTCCATACATCTTTTCTTTTGCGGCCAAGGTGGGTCATTACCCACTCACGGTTAACACTATGAGACATGAGTCGCACGCAATGACAACTTTTCCAAGGGGACTATTTAGTGGAAATTTCTTTTGATTGCCCGCAATGACCAAGCCTAAAGAATGGATGTATGCTTTTTCCAAGGGGACTATGTAGGGGAGTATTTCTTTTCATTAGTATATATAAAATTAAAAACAAGGCCTAAACCTTTCTACCCTTATAATTTAAACACGAAACGATAATTGTACTCTCATGTTTATCCAATTTCAAAGATATTTTGTAATATATATATAATTACCTTTTTCTTTGGTAAATAAATCACAATTTCACTAGTTAGTGACCGTAATACCATGGATGATTTTGGACAGATAAGTGACATGCTTTACGGCATTAAAGCTCCTTCCCCAAACGCATAAGGACACAAAATCCTCGACTTAATATGTTTATAGCTATCTTCTAGTTTGGAAAATTATTCTCTGCAAGACAGAATATATGGTGCTGCAATGTTGCAGCAACAGATCCATGGTGTTCAGCTTTTATTCACCTCAAAAAAAAATTGCATGCATTTTTATTTTACATTCTTTCCCTCATCCATCTAATAGATGTTTTCCTTTTTGAGCAGAAGTGTATTAATAGGCTCTCTGCACTGGAGATAAACATTGAAAAGGCTCTTTTGTAGCATATGCTACGTCTGAAAAAGTTAATGCCC